ATAGCTGACATTTGGGAGCAGGAGTCTCTTATTTTGCTTCTTTGGCTGGAGGGGGGAATTGTAATTAGGAGGTGGGGCACACACCACTCTGGTAGGGGCAGATCAAAACTTAAGTGTGTGTGATCTCTAGTAGGTAGTCCCCCCACATGGGGGATGGGCAAAGAGAGAGTGTGGGGGAGAGGCAGGAAGCGGGCAACTAGACTAACAAAGGTGCCTGTGGCGGTTTGCCCATCCCAGGTGGGAGGGCGGAGTCTAGGGCTCAGCCCTGGCCTTGGGTGACTTTACTTGTGGCCTGGGGGCTTGGAGAGAGCGCCAATCAAGAGTTAGGGCCCCATTTCAGCTATTCCATGGCTGGTGAATGGGGGCTGCAGACAATGTCTGGTACTTCTGGAAGTTCCCAGGGCTAGGCCCTAGCATGTCTGATGTTGGGGGAGATTTTTGGGGACCCCCTTCAGCTCCCTCTCCATTCCCCCAGGGACCATGGGCTGTTGCAGCTCAAACCCTGAAGATGACTGGATGGAAAACATCGATGTATGTGAGAACTGCCATTACCCCATAGTCCCACTGGATGGCAAAGCCACGGTAAGAGGCAAGACAGGGGGTTTGGTGAGGGAGCCAGGTGGAGTGCACAACCCAGAAGAACGGACCACCACTATAAATCCTTGAAATAACAGAGTGGCCCTCTACCCTGCAATACAGCAAGGAAAAGAGGCCCAGAGAGGGGAATGGGCTCTCCTAAAGTAACACAGCAAATAGTTGGCAAATTCAGGGATAAGACTCAGCTACACTGGAGAAGTGAAGAAGAGCAGAGCAGTGGGGCTGGGAGCCAGGGTATGGCACAGCCTTTTGTTCTCTGACCTCACTCTCTCCCCCCACCCAACAGCTGCCTATTCGGAATGGCTCTGAGGTGCGGGATCCACTGGTCACCTACGAGGGCTCCAACCCCCCGGCTTCCCCACTGCAAGGTGACCTCAACCAGCAGGGCCTGGAAGAGAAGGCCTGTGGATCCTTGGCTGTCTATCTCCATCTCCTCCCCACCTATCCTCTACCCTGTCCTGCCTCTCTTGCCTCCACTCTTGTCCTCTGCCCGGTAACTCCTGAACTCCATGTTCCCTGGCTATTCCAGGCTAGTTCTCCCTGACAACCCCTGTCTTTACAGACAACCTGGTTATCGCCCTGCACAGCTATGAGCCCTCTCACGACGGAGACCTGGGCTTTGAGAAGGGTGAACAGCTCCGTATTCTGGAACAGTGAGTGCCCCCTCCACACCACTCATCCTTGCCCTGTGGTAATGTGAGGGAGCCTCCTAATCGGTACTGCAACCCTCCTTTGGCTCCTGTCTTGCAGTGGATGACTTTGAGACAAAATGGGAAGCGCCAGAGTGCTGAGCTGGAGGGTGGGGTGGCATGGCATAACTGGAACTCTAAGGGAGAGTTTCCAGGTTTCCAATGCTGAGCCGACCACGCTGACCGCCTCTGTTGCGCAGGAGCGGCGAGTGGTGGAAGGCGCAGTCTCTGACCACAGGCCAAGAAGGTTTCATCCCCTTCAACTTTGTGGCCAAAGCGAACAGCCTGGAGCCCGAACCGTGAGTAGGGATGGATGGGAACAAATCTAGGGACCCCGGGCAGAGAAGGGATGCTCAGGATGGTGGTAAATGCTTGAAGGTGGACCAACAGACAACGGCCTTCGCTTCTAGCTGGTTCTTCAAGAACCTGAGCCGCAAGGACGCGGAACGGCAGCTACTGGCGCCCGGGAACACGCACGGCTCCTTCCTGATCCGCGAGAGCGAGAGCACCGCGGGTGAGCACTGGGCGGGACCGGGATGGGTGGGGTCGGTGGGCGTGGCCGTGTGCGTCAGAGGGGAGGGGCGCGGTGGCGGAGGCTCCACTCTCAGGAGGCCACTCCTCCCCTTCTTTTGAGTTCGTTTGCCCGTTCTCTCATTCAGGATCGTTTTCCCTGTCTGTCCGGGACTTCGACCAGAACCAGGGAGAGGTGGTGAAACATTACAAGATCCGTAACTTGGACAAAGGCGGCTTCTACATCTCCCCCCGTATCACTTTTCCCGGCCTGCACGAGCTGGTCCGCCATTACACCAGTGAGCGCGGCAGGACCCCCTCAGACGTGGGCCCGAGGCTCCTTTACCTATACCCTATCAGCCTGCCTCCCCCAAGTCCCTCTCAGGGGTACCCTCTACTCATCTAAATATGCCCCTTCATTCCCCCACAGTGGGTGAGGTGCGGTACCCTATAGCCCCAGCTGTAGAGTGACAGCCCTGCACCGCCCCTGCCAGTCTGTTTCCCCTAGACGGGACTTGGTGAAGTGGGAATGGGTGGGGGTACCTGAGTCCTGCCATATTCACAGCCCTACCCCTTCCCTTGTCCTCGCAGATGCTTCCGACGGGCTATGCACGAGGTTGAGCCGCCCCTGCCAGACGCAGAAGCCTCAGAAGCCTTGGTGGGAGGATGAGTGGGAGGTTCCCAGGGAGACGCTGAAGCTGGTGGAGCGGCTGGGGGCTGGCCAGTTCGGGGAGGTGTGGATGGGTGAGTGAGGCCCTCCAGGACTGCGGGGAAGAGGGAGGGGAGGCGTCTGCTGGGGTCCTGAGAGTCCTGCGACAGTGCCCTCTTTCTGAGTGCCTGATGCTTGGTGCACGGGCTCCGAGTGACTTCTCCCAATCCCTTCCCCACCCCCAGGATACTACAACGGGCACACAAAGGTGGCAGTGAAGAGCCTAAAGCAGGGCAGCATGTCCCCCGACGCCTTCCTGGCCGAGGCCAACCTCATGAAGCAGCTGCAACACCAGCGGCTGGTCCGGCTCTACGCGGTGGTCACCCAGGAGCCCATCTACATCATCACGGAATACATGGAGAACGGTGGGCGCCGCCGCCGTGCGCGGCCGCTGGGGGGCGCTGCCGTCCCCCCTTCTGCTAGAGGGTGGAGGAGATACATGCCTTTTCTTCTGGCTCAGGACTGAGGTTTTCTAGTGTTCCTGGGCCCCTAAAGACTCACCTTCAGGGGTGAGAAGAGTGTGTGTCCTCCGAGCCCATCTGGGAGCCTAGCTTGAGGTGGCAGGCGCTTAAAGGGCATTCATCCCTGAACTACCCTGACCTGCTGCCGGGTTTGCCTTCTTGAAAGCCCTACCTTGATCTACGGATGCTTGATCTCAGGAGATGAGTGGGTCCCTTGCCCCATTTCTTTCCCTCTGCCACTTGGGAGGGCACATGTGCCCCAAAGCCCTCTTTTTTCAGTTCTGGATGAGCCCCTTCCCCTCCATTGTCTGCTATTGGACAGAGTAAGAGCCTCAGGAAGGTAAACAGGAATTTCTAGGCTCAGTTTTGCTACTAATTTGCTGTGTGACACAGGCCAAGTCTTTGTCCCGCCTCTGGTGCTCAGTTTCCCCAAGTATAACAGCAGAAATCTAAATGGACTCACCCAGAAATAATGTAGTTATTAAGGGCTCTAGAGTCTGACTATTTAGGTTAGAACCCTGGGTTCACAATTATGTGGCCTTGGGCTAATCACTTCACTTCTTTTTGCCATGGTTTCCTCAATCTGTAAAATGGTGATCATAATGCAGTTGTAACTTTTGTGTAGGTTTTTATGAGGATGAGAGAGTTAATACATATGGAGCAGTTAGAACAGTGCTTGCCGTATGTTAACTGCTCAG